AGAGAGAGAGAGAGAGAGAGAGAGAGAGAGAGAGAGAGAGAGAGAGAGAGAGAGAGAGAGAGAGAGAGAGAGAGAGAGAGAGAGAGGGCATCTTCAACAGCAAGTAAAAGCATGACAGAGCGTATGTGAGCAGAGCATAGAGTAGTTTGTCATGTTCAGTAGGTCCCGCGGGACGTTTGTGATGCAAGGTGTATGGCCGACCCTCAACCCAAAGGGTCGTTGCACGAAGTCGGAAGCCCTGGAGCCATTCGACGTGAGTAGGGCCATAATGTCGCGCCGCCATGCAACGGGCCCTCTTTTCAACGGGCACGACGATCCAGCCCGCCCGCGGTCCTATCGGCCCGACGGTCCGGATCGTCCCGCGATCTTAAAGTCTTGTAGTCTTAAGATCGCGCGGAAATTCGGACCATCGGGCCAGTAGGACCGTGGGCGGCCCGGATCGCCCAATTCTCACGTTCGCGATTTCTGCAAGTGTAGGGATGCAAATCAACAGTGATGAGTATTCAAATCGCCCTCCATATGCATCTTCCATATTCTAATCTGCGTCCTATATAGTCGCATTGTCTATAGCATTCAAATCGTGTAAACATTTGTGGTTCCGCATGGCCCCTGAGCAAGGATGACACACAAATTGAGAAATGATCCATGTCATGGAACAACTTCAAGAGGAGCTGTTCACAGCTCCGATGATGAAAAAAAACAGGTTTGTCTTGGTGTCTTCCAGCACTCTCTCTCTCTCTCTCTCTCTCTCTCTCTCTCTCTCTCTCTCTTTGTGGAAAGCACAGCGCCCGCAAACACCTCACGCTCACACACACACATTCATGCCTGCATGCACACCTGACACAAACACAAACACGCACACACGCACACACACACACAATGGGGCGAGAGAACGGTAGCGGCGGCAGCCTCTTCAGTGCAGTAGGGACGATGGCGGCAGTGGTGGTCTTCAAGAGGCTGCCGGTACCTTATAGGAGGGTGGTGGTAATCCTACCAGTAGCGCGGCGGTAGGGCCCACTCTTACCATTTGGGAGGGCAGCGGCGGTAGGACCTACCGATATCTATAGGCCGATTACCAGGCCAACGGCCTGGACTCGATGCGCGATCTTAAGATCTTAAACCACTAGCCTTTGACGGTTGGGAAAATAGGGAGCCTCGGGTAGGCCTCCGATCTTTAAGGGGACCGAAACGAAACGATGGCCGCCGATGAGATTTATCAACGACAATCGTCGTCAGGCCCGACCTCCACTTTCTTACGAGTTCCCAACCGTCAACATTCCTAGTGGCTTAAGACTTCGTGTCAATCCATGCCCTTGGCACGGGTAGGCCTGGCGGCCCAGATCGAGAGTTTGTTACATGGATCCGACAATCGGGGCCATCGGTCCAGTAGGAACCGATAACCCAGATCATTGATTTGCCAGACTAGCCTATGTGCCTGTGTGAAGGCGCCGAGCACACGTTCACATTCAAGCGGACGCGTTCAACTCATGTTTGTGCGCATTCAAACGCGTTTATCCGAGCCGTGTGGTGAATAAAGGGAGAAAACTGAACGCGCCCCCCCCCCGTTGGCGTGCGCACATGGGAAGCCACCACGCACCCCCCCATTGGCGTGCGCACATGGGAAGCCACCGCGGGGCGTGCAGAGTATAAAAAAAAATAATAAATAAAAAATCACGTGTTTGTGTGTTTGTTGTCACATTCGCTATACACAAAAACAAGCAAGACTATGTGTGTGTGTTTGTGTGTGTGTGTGTGTTTGTGTGTGCGTGTGTGTGTGTGTGTGTGTGTGTGTGTGTGTGTGTGTGTGTGTGTGTTGTTTTAAGAGACGACAGATTCTCTCTCTCATTCCCTTCACAAACAATCACAAGCCATCCATAGCGAAAAAGTATAGATACGCAGTATAATAGCAAACGCAAGTTTGGCACGTTTGTGTGGTTCAGCGCCAAGTGCCCACACACCCGTCTGCCGCCACACTTGCACATAGACTTATGTATACATATATGTTTCAAACCATAAGGGGATGGAGGGCAGAACACAACTTACCTAAGACAGAAGACTACTCAGCAAGAAGGCACCGACCCGACCCCCTCAAAGGTCCAAAAAAACTTGGAGAGCCTTCCGCATCGGCCCACAAAACCAAAAACTCATTTACCAAAAACTATCAAATATGACAGCATTCCCGACATTCATCTCAAACTACACACTCGCGTCACTGCCAAAGAGGAGGGAGAAGATAAGAGACACCTAAAACAAAAGACTCCTCCAGCAAGAACGCACCAACCCCACCTGCTAAGGGTCCGAAAAAACTAGGAAAGCCTTCCACGCTGGCCCACAAAACATACATTCCCCCCAAAGAGAACTCGTGGTCGCGCGTGTGTGTGTGTGTGTGCGTGTGTGCATTTATTGGAAATGGCACCTGTGTGTGTGTGTGTGTGTGTGTGTGTGTACGAGCGGTTGTGTGCAACCGCGCACACACACACACACACACACACTCAGGGGTGTCGCTAACTCGCGGCGATGTGGTGAGTTGTGGTCCCTCAGTCAAATGCATTCTGGTAGATTGTCGGGGTTCAACCTCCTGATGAGTCGGGGAAAGTCCAACGAAACAGTCTGGCACAGTCATGCTTTCTTTTTAGCGCATAGCGAATATGACCACACACACACACACACACGAACAATCGATCAATCAGTCGAGATTCAATGGAATCCGTTGAATCGATTGTATTGTCATATTCAGTATACACTATAAAAAAACATGACTCTGCGAGACTGTTCATTGGACTTTCTCCGACTCATCAGGAAGTTGTTGTTGGTGGTGTGTGTGTGCGCGCTCGCGCGCACGTGCACTCACACACACACACAAACAAAACAAACACAAAAAAAAATGACCAATCGATCAATTGATTTGATTGAATCGATCAATTGATTTGATCGAATCGATCAATCGAGTGAATCGATTGAATGATTTATCGATTCAATCGAATCCGATGAATAAATTGCTTGATTCATTCAAATTGATTGAATCAAATTAGTGTGTGTGTGTGTGTGTGTG